TTAACACTTGAGGCGGCCATGACAGTTTTTATTTTTTTTATTCATACATTAGTAGGTAGCTATTATTATGGGATAGGGGGAATTCGGAACGCCAATTGTTGCAATGCTAATTGGAATAGTTATGCAGTGTTGTTAAGAAATTTATCGTTGGTACCACGTTATTAAAACGATAGCCGCAAATGTTAATTTAACATAAATAAAGGGATTAATACCTAAGTATTTAAAATCAGATAACAGATAACTTCAAATAAGCAATATTGATTATTGATGATTATCTTCGCATTCCCGTGAATTTGTGTAGTGTATGTATGTTTAAAGGGTTTCCGTCTCCGTCCATGCCTAAAATAAAACAATGATGCTAATATGATAACAAACAAAACCGAATAAAAATATTAATTAAGTAGGCTGCGTATAATTGTACTAAACTGCTGTAAATAGATAGGTAAAATGTTAGTAGGTATCCTAAATATGATCATATGTAAAAAGCAATCGTTTTTACCAACTTGGGTGTGGTTCTAGTCGGGCGGCGAGCTCGGAGCTACCCTTGCTCGACGTCGAGCAAGGGTAGCTCCGAGCTCGCCGCCCGACTAGAACCACACCCGAGGCGTACGGTGAGTAGAGTTCTACATTCCTCTTGGAGGCGCGCCTCCAATGGATGGAGCCCAATAAGGCTGATGTTCAGCCGGGGTTGCAGGCCAAGCGCAATAAGGTACTAGGGCCTTGGACGGGAGCTGCAACGGGTGGTTTTCATTAATCAAGATTCGACATTCCCTCTCGCTAATCCGATCTTTTATGTTACAGGATAAAGCAGGTCACAAGTACGTATACTATACCTATTATACTGAAGCAGGTATTTACTCCATTGCAATCAAGGCATTTTTGCTGATTACAAAGTAGATATGTTGCTCAATTCTGAGAAATACTTGTTTACTTCGGATACGAATACGTACGCGAATGCCAAAAAGTAGGTGAGTAAATAGGTAAAAAATTTGATTTTATCAAATTGTCATTTCTATAAACAACATTTTTTCCAACCAGCTATGGTCTGTACTAGCCTATAGCTAAGGGTATAGTTGGTTATGTATATTATACCTTATTTATCTGCATGTGGCGCCATTGCCATGGCGCTGACGGCGTCTTATCACCTCCGTCATTGAAAAACATCGTTTACGCAAGCACTATTTATCAATGAAAGCAAGTTTTTCTTATCGTCCACTGCTGTCGTAGCGTGAGGTAAGTAAGTAGGTAGATAGTAGAGGCAGTACCTATCTATTAGGACCAGAGGATTGAAGTTCGTAATGTATGTAGGTACCTTGTCTAGGTATATTTCGTGGAGTTATACTTACCTGGATTTAGACGGGTAAGTAATTTGAACTTGAATGAATTGTGAGTCGTCACAGTGCGTCCAAACAACTTCACAGAATTTCTCCGTATCAGCCATTGCCAGCTTGGTGTGAAGCCATGTTTGACGACATATCACTCTCCTAAAGCTCAATATTTTCGGCTGGAGTTGTAGAATCCGGAAACGTGATGTACCTAAGCCGTTTTAGAACTTTTTAAATTGAATCTTATGGTGCATTGCACCATAGACATGGTATATGTTCGACCAGGACCTTACAATCGTCTTACGATGTACTCGTACCTGCTTAATCTTATTGCGTTTTGTCTATTAGTAAGCGCGAGTTCCGGATCCATCTGCGGTTTGATTGCGGTACCATTTAAGAATCCTTCTTCCACAAAATGATGGCGGCATCAGTTTAGTTGGATTTAGTTTACTTGATTTGGTGTGTACTAAGGTTGTGGCGTCCAATAACCATCAAATAGGATGTAAGATTTGTTACTACCACTAGTATCTATCTACCAAGCGCCTATAAAAATAATAAGATAAAGGATAAATTACTTGCTACTACTTAATTAGTTTTAACGAGGCAAACTAGTCACCGGAGGCAATGATTTATTAAATATCATGCTTTTCTCAACAAAACGTTACGATTTTTGAAAAAACTTTTGTTTCCAACACAAAAAATGAAGGTGCATGCTCATGTTAATCGTAAAATTCTAAAGGTACCTACATGACCTTTTCAAGCAGGTAACTGCAGGTGTACAAGAGTTGTAGGTAGGTATATAAATCATAAAATGCTGTAAAATCGCCTAGCAGAAAACACAAAGCGATATAAAAATACAGAATGTCGGAGTTTGTTGATTCAGGTAGCGTGCCGCACGATTATACTGCCTACGTGTGCCTGTGCAAAAACAGCTCTGGTCCATTCGATGTATAATTTCTTGGCATAAATAAATAACAATATGCCTACGTTTGTTTCAACTTCAACAAGGCCTATATGTTAATTGAGCTCCTGTAACCTACTGAGAATTATTTTCAAGGTTCCACTAGTCTAAGTAGTGCTGTAACTCGCTACATTATCTGTAGGTGCTCAATATATAAATAAACTAGCTAGTCTTGCGCGGTTTCACCCGCTACTCGGCTCCATTTAATCGTAGCGTGATGGTTTATAGCCTATACACTCAGGAACATTGTAGCTATCTATCAGTGAAAGAATTTTGGCAATCCGACCAGCGGTTCCAAAGATTACCCCCTACATACAAACATACAAATTTTACCTCTTTATAATATTAGTATAGATATACGCAAAAACTCTGTTTACTTTTTTCCAAGAAAAACGGCGAAAAAAGTATAAAATGTTAAAGGTTAGGTATGCGGAGAGAGTGCAAAAAGCTAATTTAAAAAAAGAGAAAGGAAATTAATAGATAAATTATTATCAAACACTGCCAAAGTTCGACAAACACGTGTTTACCCATTATTTTAGAGAATTTTCGCTAAATAGATTATTTATCTTAAAAAAACACTAAATCGACCAATAGACACGTGATTTAAGACATTATCTACTTAAGTGGAGAACTTAGATGGATTTTTGACTTGCAGGGAGGTCCTAATCAAACGGTTCATTTTGTATGAGTAATGTGCTAAAACCGTAGAAAACACTACACGTGAGGCGTATAATATAATTTCTGAGTTGCGTTTTTATTGGACATAATTGGCACATAAGTTTTCCAGGCATGGTCGACGCATGATGTAATGCGTTGTTAGTAATGTGACTCGAGTGTTCGATGCGCAGTTGACCCCAATCGCCCCCAATCGAAGGACTAAATTGTTTGTCCAATCAAGTGATATTATCTTTCAAAAATAGTATGATATTATTGTAGTCATTTAAAAGTTGAAATCATCAGTCTGTCACTGGATTTCACAGCTAGGAGGGGTTTCTGAAGAAAATCTAATAGCCACCAGCTGCATAGGCTTAGCTTGGTACCTACTTGCTCTTAATAGAAATGGGACTCTTGGAAATTATAGACTCTCTTGCGGAATTGGTTCAACTTGAAACTGACACACACTGGAAACATTAATTTTTTTAGTAACTGAAAGGCTAAAATTACTCCATAGTAATTAAGCTAAGTACCTAATAAGTGGGTGATTCTCCAAAAAACCTTAACTTTTATTTAACAAGTCATTATCCTCCCAGGTTTTTAAGCATCTTAGTAATTTATTTTATACAATATTTTTAATCGGTTGCTTGTAAGCAGTAGTGAGATTTTTTTTTTTTTACTCGCCTATATTGTCCCACTGCTGGGCAAAGGCCTCCCCATCTCGCTTCCACGCCTCCCGATCCTTCGACCGTGTCCACCAGTCTCGACGATAGGCGTCTAGATCGTCACGCCATCTTTTCCGGGGCCTACCCCGCCTGCGGCTTGATGGTGAGATTTAATTTAATAAAATAATTATCTGTGTTTTAATCAGCAGACTCGTTAATTTTCGGTTGAGGATAATGACATTATTAATTTTTTTTTAATTGATGTGAAGAATCACCCATGTACTAATAACTACCATCTATGACGACTGGCCTATTACAAGATACCTTAATGTTTTCGTAATTATTGATTTCTAAATTTGTAAGATATGTATGTATATTCTAGACAGGTACCTACCTTCCTATATGCGAGTTGCTACGAAGTATTTACAAGGATGCTGTCACACATAATATGTAGCCAGGGCGTCGATGCTCTTGTTATTGCTAATTGACCCGCTTAAGGTGACACTGGCCGTCCCGACTTTTAGCAAGTCCGCTTATTGATGCCAATGCAAAAATTATTGAGCTAATTTGTCACACTAAGCTTATAACTAGGTTTATACATTTTTAATAAGTACAAATGCTTACATTTTCTTGATTTTCCATCATTTTTACTTCACGAGATTGCAGAAACACTCCTCTATAAAGTTTAATTTAAGTTACAGTTTAAGACGTCGATTATATTTTTTCAAATCATCTTGATTTTCTTCGAAATAGATAATATTTGTAGCGCGCCAATATTATATAGAGCAAAATCGCTGCCAGTTTGCCAAGGCATACACTTTCCAGTGGATATTCATTAGTAATCCAACTAAAACGTTTACTAAAAATAAAGCAAGTTTTTTCATCCGTAGCCAAGCCCGCATCTCACTGAAGCAGAAGTATAATACAGAAGTATAATAGAAAGTTGTTATATTTTTATATTCTCTATTTAATACTATTTATCTTTAGCGTGCATTTTCCAGACTCTGCGGAACTGCAATAAACTTGTTCAAGTTGCTGTCACAATACTGCTTTAAAGGCAATATTTCGCTTTGGTAATTGTTGTGAACACTGTTTGTTAAAACACATTACAAATGAGTTATGGCGATGCATTTGGCACTCGTGTTCAATGAGATTGCGTCTTGCGACGCGAAGCACATGCATATGCTTTCCGACTACCCACACATATAATAATATCCACTTCAGTATATTTTTTGTACACATTGCAGCCGTTCAGAAATTATTTATTTTATATCTGAAGAAATGCTTTTAAATAGGTGTCAGACAACAAGTAGTGATTATTCTTTTATGAATTGTCATACATATTTATTTCAAGCCGCAATTGTTTGTGGTAGTTTTCATAAATAAATTGTGATCATTTGAAAAATATTTTGTTTATTTTCATCACACATTTTATTCTAAAGTATTTACACTAAGATAATACAAGGCCGGGTCATCTGTATCGTATATTTCTTTTAAAACATCTAACACTAAAGACTGTATGTAATCAACCTGAAAATAAAGAAAAGTGATTAAGAATATGGTTTGAAAAACCTATAGAAATAAAAAAGTCATCCTATTCTTATTTCTACAGACCTGATGAGGAGGACAATAACCGTCATCAGAAGATCTGGCAATTGTGATCATCACTGGCGGGGGTATGTTCCTTAGCAGTGGTACTAAAGCTTTCTTCACTAAGTCCTCAATTTCTTGTTGTGTGCTTATATGATACGGCAAACCTCCTTGGTCACGAGTACAGCCACCTGCAAACACTGCCCACCAGTCCGGCTTTTCATTTAATCTGTCCGCTTCTGCTAATATTGCTGAGGCTAGCTCGTTCACCTGAAAAATTAATTAAATAATTTCGTTATGGAATGGATTTCCTTTAGCTTACAATGTTTTTCTCCAAATATCACAGTCTGAACTAACCATGTCGTACAATTTTGACTTTTCGCCCGCGTAGTTATCCAAGCTATCATACTGCTCCAAGTGCTGGAACAACTTCTCAAGTTCTCCTAGTTGTCGCTCCCGCGCTGCGACAACTTTATCAATTGTATCCGCTTCGACGTCGTCAGGAAGTTCGAATTCAAATATCGGTTGCAGTCGATCGTAAACATTGATATTTTTGTGTAAACCGAGAAAAGGGTTTCCAGTGCTGAAGAAATCCAAGTCAATATCGAGTACATAAGGATGTGTAATATTAATATTGGTTACAAATTTATTGACGTTAATTTCATCGGAAGTAAATGTAGAAGTAGAAAGTTCTGCTGATGTGAATATAAATTTTCTTTTATTAACTAATTGCGGCGAGTACAATGCATCAGATAGGTAATACGGTTCCTTGCAGTCGACTCGCAACTCGCCTGACGACGGATGATCACCGACGTGTATAGGTCGCGTGTCATCTCGGAATTGACTCGCCCACGGCGGACGCAGCCACACTACTCGGCCGATGTGTCCAGCTGCCGCTGCCGGCACAATCCAATTTTCTATTTGTAATAATGGCAAAACATGTCTCCCAGAACGTGCTTCCTCTCCTTTCAATTTACGATCAATGAGCATATCAGGATGCGCATCTAAGTGTAGCAAAGTCGTTCCCTCCAATGGCAACTTTTTGCCTCCTATAGCTGAATATATAAACTGTAACGCATCGTTGTGCTCTTCTACCACATAGATGGGAATCTTTTTGAATTTCTTCAGAGTTGCCATTCTCTATCTTTAGCTAAGCGATTACCTGACTTATTAACATATTTTTGCTGTGCGGAAATCTGGAACAATAGTGATAATAAAATTAACTAGAAGTAGGTACCTATATAGCCTTTTCAAGTCAACGTCAACAAGCAAATTAGGTAATTTGATCAGGGATACTTTATTCAAAACAGAACATAGTTTTCTTTTACAAATTATGATAAATGTAGGAAGTGATACTGCAAAAAAGATATTGTCGCTTGATAACGCGTATTTCACGTATTACTCAAACAACATAAACAGGGTCCATAATATTAAACGCAATGTTCCTTATGTAAACAACCGAGCCCTCCCTTGCCGAGACAACAGACTTTCGCTCTTAAACTTATTTAGTCTATTCGAGGGTTTTTCCAATTTGGGTCAAGGTCAAATGACGGAAAAATTTAAGGGGAAGGCCCACCCTGCCTATCATAGCTACTACGCACTTGATCCGACACTTTTTGCAAGGCTGAATTCGGTGCCCATCCATGATACCAAAACTTTTTAGTGGCGTGTTTGTTAGACGCTTTTTACGTCCCCTATAATACTTGTGCCTAGAGTGTAAATGAAGTAGAGCAAAAGTTAAAAGGGCTATATATTATAGTAATATAATTATATATTATATACTTTAGTGCATTACATTTTCCGTCAAGATTAGAGATTTCGCGTCAAATATCGAACTGTCTTAGTTTACGGAACTTGTCTTGTTCAGTTTTTCTGTATGATTATTATTTATGCTTATCTTAAATTTGCTTTTCTTATAAGCTTCTAAACTACCTATTCTGAACTACCTATATGTACCAATAAAGATAAATAGGTAAATGCCCATACTTAAATAAGGCGGGTCTGGTAGCCCTTCTTTTTCTTGGCGTCATATAATTATTTGAATTCATCGGGGTATGGTTTGCGGCGTGCGAATCTCATCAAAGCAGGCTATGAGCGTTTTCCATTAGCGTCGGCAAACTTCCGGCTGGCGCGCTGCGTAGTTGCGCGGTAGCTAGAGCGGCGCGGCCGGGTGGCGCGGGATGGCAGGGCCGCAGGGGTGGCCGGGTGCAGGGTGCCGCGGAGGAGGGGTGTTGTGACGGCAGTCGCTGAGGTCGATAGCGCGCGTCACTGACGTCACTACGCTACTACGCCCGCCCAAACATACCCCCGCGCGCGCCTCTCCCTGCTGACCTATTGCGCCGTTACGCCCACCTGGGTCAAGGTGTGGAAGCTCGCTGGACCCGCCCGGATGCTTAAATACCTTCAGGCGACACTGTTTTTGTTACATTATGTTACGTAGTTTAATAAAGGTGAACAATCGTTTTTCCATCATACACAAACAGACGCCCACGTTCGATGGGATGTAAACATTCATTGATACTACCTGCACGCGTTCATTAATAAAGCGTACCTATGTAGGTACGTAACCTGACTGTAAGCCGCGTTCGCTCTATTCAGGTTGATATTATAACTGCTGTGAGTAAATAACTGAATTAAAAAATCTTACCTACTTATATAGCGACAAGCAAAAAATTGCTTTTTTAATAGCTTTGGTATAGATTCTACATTTCTACCTACCTCTTATTTTAGTGAATGTGCCTTCGTACATATTAATGGCAAAAAACTACTAGAATTTATTTAATTTCCTTTTCTAATTTAATTTCACTACATTTATCTTACTATCAATACATCAATACCAAGTTCCTGGCAAAAAGCTTCGTACGGACAAAAAGTTATTTCCCGTGTGGCCGAGAGGAATTCCCTAAATCCAGGAGTTAGTACTCGCCTACACTAGCCAAGGAACATCATTATTAGCTTTGGATCTTTATTTCCAGTAGTCTCAGCACTCTCATTCAGTAAGAGCACAGTTAAATTTTATTATTCATGTGAACATGGCTTTACCATGTAAAGGTTGAATTTCATTGATTGATCTACAATTGTAGCCCATGTAGTGTTTACTTTATTTTCTTAATGACTTTTTCCTGCTTTACATGCAGGATTGCTCTATATAATAATATGTATGTAGACAGTATATAACTTATTCAACCTCCTGACTGTCTGCCTGCTACAATACTCAAAGACACAACAGATGTCTCACTTAGATCACAGTCCAGCTAAAATGCTGTGTGATTGGTTTATTTACGATTAGTACATTTCTCACCCACCAGAGTTTTTTTTTGAAATGTTGCCTCACGCTAGGGTTTTCTCCCATACATACATAGCACACCCAGACCCGGAACAACATCAGCCGGGGTTGCGGGGTAAGCGCAATGAGGCACCGCGACCGCGGCCCAGAGCGGGAGATGGAATAGGGGGTTTTTAGTCAGTAAGAGTCTGAAACTCCCTCCCTATCCTGGGCGGGAGAAGCCATTTGATGATTTTCCTTTCACAAAAAAAGACCCAGAGCAACATAATGTGGATCACATAAAGAGTTGTTCCGTACGGAAATCGACACATTCTGCGGCAGCCGTACAGTCAAGATATAATATCAGCCAAGCTAAGCCATGTGTTCCAGTAAAGATGTATTGGGGTGATTATTTAGTGAACATTCGATAAAAAATGTTATTTTATAAACTAAGAGATTAATAATAAACATTGTATCATAGCTCTTTATTTATTTTATAAAGAGTTAAGATTTGATTGCCAAACAAACTGTTTGGCTTCAATTGGCTCAGAAGTGCAATCAGCTCCCTATGCATCAGATGTGTTTTCTATGAGGGGAAAATCACCAAATGTCTTCTCTCGGGCCAGGTTAAGGCGTTAGGGAGGTCAGACTCTAATATCAGAATCTTTGTAGAATGACTGATTAAAGCCCCAGGAAACAACTATTTTGCAGAAAAGATCTTCTAAATATTTAAACTAAAAAAACTGTCCCAACTAAACTACAAACAGGTAATTGTGAAACGACTAAATCGGTCTTATTTTTAAATCTAATGACCATTTTTTATGCAAAAACTTTGCAAACAGATGAAAAACAGTATTGGCCTGGGTGGAGATAAAACGGTAATATCATATTACTTTGGTACAACATTTTCAAACAAATAGATTTATCACAATTTTGTTTTAATAATTCTTCTACATTACACATTACACAAGCCAATGAGTATTATTGAGGGTTATTATGTTTTTACGCAAAAAGTAAAAACGCATGTTAAAGCTTCAGAGGTCCATCATGAAGGATACCTTAATTATTTATGTAATATTATTAAGATATTTGCGATCATAACAGTATATCATTGGCCCAAAGTATAACTAAAGATTTGATATACTGAACTCCCTGATGCGTGTATCCCTGTACTGGATCAAAGAGAAAGACAAATGGACCACATTATTTAATACTAGATCATCCGAAACTAAATATTTAGCAACGTAAAAACGAAATTAGTAATTTGTCATTATACTTGGTATAACATAAGGCACATATAAAATTTAAGACAACAGTGAACTTACATTTTTCTTCCTTGACATAAAAAATTAAAATACACAAACGTTACCTATATAATCGTAAAGTATTACTTTCTAATTTTAATTTAAAACTATTTTGTTTAATGTTTATTGGTTAGATTTGAATTGTGATTGTGACATTTATTTGTTATGACATTTAGATGACAGTACTGCAGTACATTAAAAAATTAATCTGTTGATCATGTTCATGTTTGGTAACTGGTGATTTAAGCTACAAAATCAAGTGTTACCCAATTAATATTTTTATTCTCTAATTTGAATTTGTTTTTATTTAATTTTGTTTAATGTAAGTATTAAGTATGTAATGTAGGCTATGCAGCATGTCCTTAAATATATGTGTACCGGCTATGTTACTCTCCCTTTATCATCTGTAGGAATTTTCAACTTTGTAGTACCAGACTTACCTACGCTACGACTAATGAGTTGTAGCGACTGGTAAAAAAACGAGATTATTGCTTGATAGAATAATGAAAAAGAAGTATGGATATCGACATTGGAGACGTTAGGAATTAATGTTTAGTCTGCTACTACCATATACGTCTGTGATCTATATTGTATAAATAAGTACCCCATGCCGAAACAGAAAGGTATAATATTGTAGCTAACGGGATTTTTGTATCATAACAATAAAAACAAAAATGGTCCTTTAATTTTATAGATATTTTAGGTTTCTATACCTTAGACAACATTCAAACAAACAGATTGACTGATATTCATTTATCAGGTACCCAGCACTAAAGTCGGTATAGGTAAAAATGGAGACCTCTCCTAGAATATTACCTTGAGTCAAATGTTGTGGAGACTTAGTATCTCCATCATTTGAAAGCCTGTGGTGGTATATTGCTACATCCAAAGACGCCGCAGGAGATGGTTATCTATACTAATATTATAAAGAGGTAAAATTTGCAAGTTTTTATGTAAGGGGTAATCTTTGGAACCGGTCGGATTGCCAAAATTCTTTCACTGTAGATAGTTACTATGTTTCAGAGTGCTATAGGATATAACATCACGCTACGATCAAAATGGAGCCGAGCAGCGGGTGAAACCGAGCGAGAGTAGCTAGGCAACTATAAAGTTTTATTTGCTAGTTTTTTCCTCAGAAATAGTGAAATTCGTTTAACTAGGATAATACATGTGTTTTTTATTTTATAGGGTATCGTTGGGCTGGTATGACTTAATAATAATAATAACTTGCCAGACTATGTCGCTACATTAAATATCTAATTAAATTCATTTCAAAGGGCTTTAAATAAACAAGACATTTTATTTCAACTTAAATATAACTTTATTGTAATACAAGTATATGGTTTATTACATGGAAGATATAAACTGGGTCCAAACTAAAAACGCCTCATGATTGCTCATAAAACCAAATAGAATGACAATGAATCAGATTCTATCCTCAATGATTAAAAACAAAAATTAACACCAAATGAATTATTACTTATAATTAGCAACTTATTTTTAACAATAAGTTTTACATACTTCATTTAGAGGCAATTGTAAATGCTATTATTTACTTATTGTATATGTTGACTTGAGAGCCTTTCTTTTGAGACTTGCACCTATTGTTTTTATAACTCAAATCAAGTAATTATTTACGACGATATTATATTTTCGACGTCGTATCTTCCGTCTGTGTAATTGCAAATGTTAATTTAAATTTAAAAAATATAAAATCCTCTTTTACGACATAACATTTTGAATGACACAAACATCTTTTATAAAGCGTCCACAATTTGGTGAATATGTATCTTAAACTACTATAGGTGCGAACTAACGCTTAACTAGGTATATCGCCATTTTTGTGATAGTCAACTGAATCTTAACCTAATGTAGTGATTTTCTAATCCAAGGTCACTAAGAATAATGATATTATTAGTAGATTTAATCTACACAATGTACGAACTCTGTTATCAGATGGATATTTTAAATTATTTAATGAATATAAAATTTCTTATAATAATTGAGGAAAGGGTGGGGTGAAAAAGAATTGTAATTCTATACTTACCCACTATGGATTGCAATCCTCCAAAGTGCAACTATTGTCTTTATTTAAGATTTTATTTTGTTTTGAATTGTATTTACGTTTCCTCTTTGAAGGATTGCAATCATCTCACCAATAAGTGAACGATTTCTTTGTACTTTGTTCACTGTCTATAATATATTATAGAAGCCATATGAGGCAGTGCTTTATTCTTATATAATTTGACCAGAGACAAAACAAAATAGAAAACTTAAAAAAAAATAAGTAATGTCTAAAAGGCATATAGCTAACGAATCGTAATCCTATTTAATTACAAGAATTGAAGATCCAAGTGGATATTTAGACTTAAAAGTATTTCATTTAGCTTCATATAATCCAGTCTCTAAAGTTACTTTATGACTTATTGGCAGGCATAAAAGCAAATTACCTGTATATTACAGCTATATGCCCGATAGACAGTACTTGTTGCCCATCACTTACTCCACCGAAGTTTTCAATTTGTTAGGATTTAAAATACTGTAAGTATATAATTTTTCGGGGCTATTTAGATTAAGTAATAATTTATGTTGTAAAGGAAAAAATTATATGATTTAATATTAATATTCATTGTATTTGTGTCGGTGTAGAAATGAAGACAATTATAATTATGTGAACTGTGTTACGTTATGCTGTAGGTGCCCATAGGGCAAAGTCCATAGCTCCGGGTGAAGCGTGAGGCACCGTGTGGTGAGTGCGGCGGGGCACACTCAGTTCCGCGCCATTGGTTACATGATACGACAGTTCTCTTCTCCCTCACGAAGTTCACCAAGCTGAAATATCATTACAATTAAATAACATACAAATTGTATCAGATCACGGATTGCCAGTTGGAAGAAATGAGGTTTATTTAGAAACAAATTGAATACTTAATTCTATTAAGTTAACTGAATAGTTATTATAACACAATACTTTATTTTCTAACTAAACCATACCTGTTCACGACGTGGATATTTATGCGCGAGTTCGCGGTGTCTCTGTGCACTGGTGCTTATTTGTCGCCGCTGTCTTTCCGAAACTGCTACCTCCTACGGATTTTATAAAAGTTACATTTTAGAGTACTGTACTATCAGCCCATGGAAAACACATAGAGGGAAAATATAATAAAAAAAGTCTATACCTCCTGTTCGTTGTTCAACAAAGCGGTGGTGAAAGAGTCTGCAACAAACCACTTCTGGCCTTTCATGACGATGTCACGTGGTGGGTCGTGGTCCACGCCGGCATCGGCAGACCAGACGGTAGCTACTGCGCCAGGCTCGAGTTTCACGGTGCGGTGGAATTTGAAGATAGTCTCCTGGTCACCAGCTTTACGGAGAATTTGGTATCCACCGAGGCTCAGTTCCTATTCAAGTAAAAAAGATAGAATTAAATAATGCATTAAGTTAGAAGTTAGAAAGCACTATCACAATATTAAATTTTAGAAATTACCTTCTTGCCCTTGTTCCTGATCTTGACGAAGCTGCCATCGGGACAGGCTTCTGCGACTTCGAGGTCACCCTTGGCGCTGGAGGTGACGCTGTAGTCGTTGAGGCTGCGCTCCTCGGTCTCGTCGAGCAGCGTGCGCTTGCGCGCGGCGCGTAGTGGGGTGGCGCGACGCGACGGAGTGCCGCGTGCACCGCTCGCGCTCATCGACGCGCTGGCAGACGCGCGGGACTCGCGGCCCGGGGACTGGCTGGTCAGGTTCAGCCTGTATGGAACATCGAATAATTTACTGATGCTAGCTTTTACATTTGTTACAGACTTACTCTATGCACAAGCAGGGCCACATTTATTAAATACATATTATAATGAAAACCACTTAGTGGCACAATATACCGTACCCTTAAACCTCGACTGAAGAGGCCTTATTCCCAAAAAAGAATAAAAATTGGCTATATCATTTACCTGTCCTCCTCGCCTTCAAGCAGCGCACGGTAAGTTGCGATTTCATAGTCGAGAGAAATCTTGATGTCCATGAGCGTGGCGTATTCGCGTAGTTGCGCAGCCATCTCGTCTCGCAAACGTGCCAGCTCCTGTTCCAGTGAGGCGAGGTCCTCAGCGTGTCGGGCGCGCTCAGTCTCCAGCTGACGTTCCAATTCACGGCAACGGTTCTGTGTGTCAACATTATTATTAGTGTTTATCACCCTTAAGCAAGCAAAGTGGTAAATTGGAAAATCTATGTTTTAAAGTGCAATGTTTACAAAAAATATTTTCTTTTAGAATCTCCACTTGTGATATGGAGCGTGGCTGGTAGTGCTTGGATGAGAAGAGCTGGCTCAGTGGCGTGCAATTGGAGAGGCCTATGTCCAATAGTGGACAAAATTAGGCTACTGATGATGATGATTATGAATTTAGACGAAATTAATATCTGACACAAAGTATTATTTGCATGATAAAATCAATTGATAAAACTGTTATTATTTTTGATGTGTTATTGTATTTGAAAGGGTTAGTACATAACATCGCCACTTACGCTGAGGGCCGCATTCTTATTCTCCAGGTCGTTGAGGGTTGCGTTAAGGCTATCAATGCGCGTGCGCATGGTACGAAGCTCCTCTACAGCAACGGTGGCGGCTGTGCTGTTTCGGTTCGCCGCGTTATGCAGATTCTTCATCTAAATTAAAATTTCATTATTATAACTCATTAATTAGTTAATTGTGTATCTTTAAGTAGTTAGACGTTGAGGCTACTCAAGATTACGTATTTAACATTATTTAAGTATTCATATTAATTTCAGGTAGATACTAACCTTGTTTTCATATAGAGCTTCAATTTCATCACGATTGGCTTTAATATTAGCCTCCTGTTGTTCACGCAGCTCTTGCAGGCTTTGTTGCAACTTAGCCTCGTACTGTTGGGCCAGGCGACCATCTGTAATAATGTTTATTATTAAAATTAATCTTTAAAATAATTCTGGTATACTGTTGTTAACTACATATTTTGCCATGCGATATAAATTCATTATGTGTGTGTTAGGACATTTTCCAATCTTAGTAATTTAAAACTGGCCTGGTCCAATGTGTCCACAGAAGGCTGCAATGTTGCTGTACAGTCATTTTTTAGTTAGGACAGGCACCAGATTGTTAAGGTGGGACCGGCATCATATAGATGATATATTCACCTGCTAAAATATAATCAAGGAACT